ATCAGAAGAAGTTTACACAAAAAATTACTTTAATCAATTTAAAGAGTCGAAATCTGTTAAACTCCCATTCAAATGGATGGCACTTGAAAGTCTTCACTATGGAATATTCTCTGAAAATTCAGACGTGGTCAGTTTTAAATGATATTATTAGATGTAGTATGGTTCAATTCTCACACACACAGTGGTCTTATGGTGTTTTATGTTGGGAAGTATTTAGTGCTGGGAAAATACCATACTCTGGTATGGATCCAACAGGATTAGTGGAACTACTGGATGGTGGACAAAGGCTAAGCTGTCCTGATAATAAAGCCTGCTCAGAAGACATGTATGCATAATAATAATTATTGCTGTATAATGATATATGCTTTGCTGTATATAGTTATTCCTTGATGCAGCAGTGTTGGGCTGAGTCTCCTGATGACAGGCCATTGTTCAGTGATTTGGTTGCATCAGTCAATGCTCTCATTGTGCCATTGGCTTCATATCTCATTGTCTCTAATGACTCAACCTTCCAACTGAATCATGATCACATATATTATTGAATACACTGTTTATGCCTTTGGAACACTCACTGCCTTGTTTCCTTTATACTAGCCTCTTTGGTTTTATTTTATTTTTTAGACTTGTGCATTATTTTAGGAAGGAAGGATATAGTCTAGTACTTATTTTATAATAATTATTAAGAAACATTTTTATTATTTATTGTGTTCTTTATACTTGTCACAATGATAAAAATACACTATTACTATGGTAATGTTATTGATAGTGGCTCTAATGACAATAACAGTCATACATAAGGCATGGATAGTATTACCAACAATTTGCTGACGGGAATTAGGACACTTCAGGATATCATGTCTACTCTTTTCTGTTTTTTACTTTTACTGCTTGGCAGTTTAAGTTTCTTTCAGTGTGATTACATATAATGTGATTGTCTTTTCCTGCATTAAACTCATGTATATTCTCTTAGATCTCCAGAAGAATGCAACACAGGTCATTACTGATATACAAACTGCCTTCTTTACAATCACTAGATAGTGTTATGGTAACATCTGATGAGAGACAAACAGCAGAAGCAACATTCAGTGACAGATGCCAACATCAAGTACAATACTTGTACTATCTATACATGTACATGTACTTGTTTATGATTATTGACTTTTTTAACAATAATTTATGAATGCATGTATAGCTTCAGTTTCTTTCAGTTTCAACTTTGACTATAATATAATACAATTCTGAAGTTTATGCAATAGTTAATTGTATTTGCACGTCAGCTTACTTTATGCTTTTTATGAGTAGATTGTCTTTGTTATTCAATATGCTCCTGCTGCTGATATGCATGTACATATACATGTAACTTTCATTATTATAATTAATAGGATGAAGATCAAGCAGATACTGCATTACTACCATCACTAACTAATGCAGGACAAGTAAAGGTACTAGAGAAGTGTCAATTCAAACTAGATGTATATACATTATGCACATGCACATTGTAGGTTATGAATGTACCATTGTACATGTCAACTCACACTAGCAGACAGTCACAGGCTATGGAGGCACGAGCACTTCACCTGCAAACATTACAAGCCTTTCAGGATAGAAGGTGAGGGAGAGAGAGGGGTATGGATTAACTGTGTTGCTTTAGGAAAGGAAGGAGATAGTACTTATTTTATAATAATAATTATCAAGAAACATTTTTATTATTTATTGTGTTCTTTATATTTGCCACAATTATTATTATTATGATAAAAAATACAAAACAAAGGTATTACAGTCCTTTTATAATTATGTTAATGTTATTGCTGTGGCTTAGCACGGCAAGTCCAATAATAACAGTCAGCATAATGGGCATGAATAAGCAAATTGCTGAGTGGAAGTAGGACACTTCAGGATATCATGTCTACTCTTTTCTGTTTTTTTCTTTTACTGCTTGGCAGTTTAAGTATCTTTCAGTGTGTCTCTTCTCAAAGTGTTGCTCCTGATGATGCTGATCCTCATTGTTCAGATATACCAATAAGAAATGTCACCTTTCCTAATGAAAGGATCCTACTGGACTCACAGAACTACAGGTCAACTCTTCTTGTTGGAGCACATGGAGAAAATAGGACATGGCTAACTATTGATTATG